AATACTTTACCAAGAAATGGGTAGGATAATTAACTCAACCCTTGTGCAAGAGAGAGCAGAGATAATACAAGCATAGCCAAAGAAAAAGGAAATGGTCCAGTTACTTAAACGGGAGGAAGCTTTTGCATTATTTGTAACATAGTTTTTATATGTTTCATAAAGGGTATAAAATAATTTCCTTCCATTTCAGCTTTTAAGATGCTTTGGATCAAATGCTCAAAGAAATAGTTGTGGGCGTTAGAGATTCAAAGGCATCATGGAAGTGTGAGGACACAGCACAGAGGCAGGACTGCATCGTTGCAGCAGCATGTAAAAGCTCTGCTTTGGAGTGAGGAGGAATAAAATCAAATCATTTGCTCTTACATATCTTAGTTTCAGGGCTGAGGACAAATGAAATTACCTTTCTGAGTCTCAGTTTTCACAGGTACGAAAGTAGAGTATTAATCATATCTAACTGATTTCTCAGAAGTAATAAATAATATATAGAATTAACTAATAATTATAATAATAAAAATCAATTAAGTATGTGATTAATAAATCATACTACTAGTAAAGTTAGTATACAGAATTCCTATTTTTAGAGATAAATGTGTGAGACAGTGTCATGCTAAAAGACAGGTACCACTAAGCAGAGCACATGAAGGTGACAACAAAATAAAGTGACATATATAAAAGTATTTTATATGTTCTTGGCAATTGTGTGTTTATTGTCACTATTAATGATGAAAATACTAATAACGTATCTGGAACAAAAGCCTACAGTGTTGGCTAGTGAAACATCAGTTTGAAGAGAGAAAATGAGCAAAAATGAAGGGGTCTGAATAACGTAGGGAAGAATTCAGGGCTCATTCCATAGATAACAAAAGCTACTGCAAATTGTGGATGGAGACTGAAATGCTAACCTGTCATTTTATTGGGATTGCATTACATGTCCCCAGTGTCATTTCCCCAATTTCTTCACTTTCATCTTCTATTTTACCTCAGGTAGCCTGGCTTCTCAACATCACTTTATTCCTTACTATAGGACTGAACCTCTCATTTGCCAGATCTGGATTTCTTCTCCCTTTTGTCAATAAAAAAAAAAAACTGTATCCTTTTAGTTTCAATATTCTCCTCCAACATGGGAGAAACCAAGTATAAAAACAAATAACACAGAGAAGATGGCTGTTGTCATCAGAATATGTGTTCCCTGGCGTGGGCCTTGACACAGATGATACTCAATGCAGATGAAGGGCAGGAATTTGAGAGATGCTGTGGGGATAAAATTAGGGTGTAGAGAGAAAGAACTAGAAAAGTCCAAGATACTTTGAGAACATGAGCCCTAAAGACCAGAAGAAAATTGAAACCATTGACAAAACTATGAATAATTGAGGGACAAGAGAAGAATAAACTTGACCAGTCAACTTTGAGGTAAATGTTCAAATTTAGGAAAGTAGAAATGGATAAAAAGAAGGATGGTGTTGGTGGACATGAAAATGTTACAGTAATCAGAGTTCAGGTGATAAAATATTCTTGGCATGGTATAGAGTTTTCCAAGTGAAAACAAATAGACACAGGTGAGAATTGAGATTTGAAAGATAAATAGACTGTATCACTAGTGATGATTATATTTTTGTGCTTAGATCTATAATCTCCTAAAAATTTAAATAGGAAAATAAACATAATTTTTAAAATCTAAAAATTTAAAAAAATGATAGCACAAGGAACAAAAATATTGGCAAGAAAAATCTAACCTAATTCAGGTTAACAGAAAATAAAAAAGAAATGCTATAATGTTCTTTTCAATAATAGTAGCTACTTGGACAGTGGACTGCGTAACAACCAGGAAAGAAACCCAACTTAGAAAAGATATGCAATCAACAGTAATTTTCTGGAGGTTCATAAGTTAAAAGAAATGACCACTTCAGGAGAAAGACCATTAATAAGCTTTAAATTAAAGAGGCAACATGTAAGGAGTTGATAAAATATTTTAGAAAAATAAGGTTAAATAGAAAAGCAAAATTTATAAGACATTAATTAAAAACAAAGAATCATAAAAGTGGTATTTATGGAAGGTCATTATATTTAACTAAAGGAGATAACTTACAGAAAATAGACTCAGCTCAGGAGTGCAGCAAAAGCCAGATTGTAGAAAATTGTGTAAGCAAAGAGAAGAAAGAAATAAGAAAATCGAAGAGAAATAAAGGAGAAATTAAAGGGCAAATAAGAAGAGGGTTGTCCTAAATAGCTAGAAGCACAAGCCTGCCATTCTTTTTTTGTAAATGTCAAGTTGAGTAAGTACAGGTATTGCATTGAATAGAAAAACACGTTTTAAGAGGAGAAAATCAAGTGAAGAATGATGGGAAAAAAGAAAGACTAAGAAAAAAGAAACTATTTTTAAATTGCAATAGTTACCAGTCCATTCATTTTTATTGTATTGTGAATTTGGTGCTTTTCCTAAAGAGATGGGGTAAATGAAATGCAAAATAAAGCCTTTTTTACACATTAAAAATTGGTTAAAATAAAATAAATTTAACACTTAACACAACTTATATTATCTGTAAATGATATAAATGCTAGCAGTAGTATTTGATACACTCTTTCAAGAAAAGATTAATTAGTGACAGGTTGAATTCTTCGTGCAAGACAAGCTTCACTTTAACGTTAAAGGATAAAAATGTATGTTTGCTTTTCTCCTAAACTTATAAACAAAGCCAGGTGTGAAATAGTGCCTGCAATGAGTAACGATATTGTACTTTCATAATTTCTTTCTGAGCTAAGAGGGGTCAATTCCATTAAGAGAATTATCTTTGCACCTGTTTACTTACATTCAAATGTTAAATTATTCTAATATCAAACTTAAGTTATTTTATATGGTACTAAACCATTCAAAATATGTTAATCATTTTGTCACCTATATCCAAAGACCAGTTATAGAGACAATTCTCAAGTGAACTGTGATCTTAATATTTCTGAGGTCAAAATTTGATCTATTATTTCTTCACTCGGAAAATAGTTTGAGTGAAATGACTATTATAACCACAACAAATTGCTATCTTTTTCGGTCTTTTTTGACAATTACTTTGTGGAAGAAGCTTGGAGAAGAAAGAGTAGAATAAATATCTGCTAAACTTATGCTCTAAACTCAAGATTTAATAGGAAAAAACAACCATACAAATAAATGCAAAGCAAAATAAAATTAAAATTATTTAATAGTTTCCAAAAATAATATTTATTGTTTGCATATTATGTCACTACAACTGGACTAGATATTATGTAAAAAATAAGGTAAATCTCTATTACTTGAATTCTAACTCTTAAGATTTTTTCTTTTGTAAGACCAGATCTTGTTATATAGCCAAGACTGGCCTCAAACTCACTATCCTCCTGTTTCAGACTGCTGAGCACTTGGATTACTGACTTCAAGTTTGTTATTATTTCATTGGAGAGATAATGACTAAGGAAAGAGGACAGATAGATTTGTCTTCTTTCTAAAGACATGTGGCCATGTATTCATTCATTACATCCAAATGTTGAATTATTCTAATACATTCATGTATTTCATGAAATAATATGTTCTAGGCATGGAAAGAACAATAAACGGAAACTAATAACATTTGATAAAAGATTTAAAGAAAGATTTTAGCTAGTGAGTCTCAAAAAACATCTAGGTTTTCCAGAAATGAAGACAGGAAAGTACACACTTGAAACAAAAAGAATGGAGGTTTATGATATGCTGGTTCTTAGCAGTCTAATGAAGCTTGAGGACTCCTCTGTTTTATAAAGTACAAAAATAGTAAGGAAAAAGTTTTAAAGGAAAGTATACATAGATAAGATCATAAATATATTGAAGTACAGTTGTCAAAATTAAAACGCTTTTAAATTTGCTAATAAAGGACTTATTTACTTATGTTGGTAGCATTAAATTCAAACTTTGATAAGGTATTTTTGTCACTATTGCTCTGTCTTGAAAAATTTGAGGATATAGTTCCTAGAGTAAGAATTTTATTTTGTACTGGATGACAAGATTGATTGAGCAGTGGGTCTAACGACTCCCATTATTGAATTACTATTGATATTCTAAGACTCAACATAAATGATATTTTGAGATATGTGTAACAATTTTAATGTACATTTCTATTATTTGTATTAGATACAAGTTCATAGTTGCTGGTAATGACTTCAATAGTCTGAGGCACACATTCACAATCAAAAGAAATGCTAACTAACTGTCATCTAGAAGTTAAAGAAAATAAAAGTGTATTATTTTTGCCAACAAAGTTCATGAATCCCTTCAGTTCTAATGACGGACCTATAAGTAAGTGTTCAATAGACTCAGACTAAGAATTCGTGGACAAGGATGAAAAACCATCACTCTCTAGGCATCTAGTAGGTGTGAGGCTCAGTAACAAGTACTTCATGTTATTCTTGCAACATGTTGTATGGAAGAAATTGCTATAATGGAAATTGTTATTAGAAAAAAGAGCAATGTGAGGCTCAAGAGGTTTTATGTAACCTGTTTAGAGTTACATACATAACAAATGCAGCTGCAGGAGGAGAATTCCAATGTCAGGTTTGGTTTGCGCACTATGAAATGCCATCTAGACAATCAGCAGAATGTGTTTTCAATGGGAAGGTAGAAGGTGAACACAGCCAGAGCAAGCAGATGTTTCCATGAGTTTTCCATATAACTGGAAATGTGGCACAGAGCCAAACTTCAGGAGGTTCTAAAACGCATTCTTAGAGAAGTGAAGTAAATCCTTCACTCCTAGATGGCATGATAATGAGAACAATATTTAAGGAAATAATAACCTGATGGTAATAATTCAATGGTTACAAGAGCAAGGATTACTGTAACGTTTTCTCACCAGAAAATTTTGGAATAGGTAAAAATGACTCATAACAGCTAAATGCCTTATCTAAAATCAATTCAGTACTTTCATTAATTTTCTGCAGGTGTTTTCAGATTTTTTTTCAAAATCTACTCTTAAAAGTAGCAAGACCTGCAAACATCTTCTTACCAACACTGCTGCAACTTTCGCCATCCACATCAAGCTTCCATCCTTCATAACAGGAGCACTTGACCGTGTGCTTGTGCTGCTCACACACCTGACTACACTTCAGATGATGGCTACAGTAATCCACAATTTCACAGGTTTTATTGTCTGCCTTGAGTTGAAGTCCCTCAGGGCAGGAACAGACAATTCCTCTTCCGGGAACAACAGAACAGTGGTTGCTACAGCCTCCATTATTCAGAGAACATTCATCTATAATAAAGGAAACAAATTAGAGGTTATGCCAATTGTTTTCCTCAGTTAAATACCAATCATTGAACTCAGTTCTCTATGACTGTGAGTAGAGTCAGGATATTATGAAGGAATATAAGAAAATTCTCTTTGTATTTTTTTTCAGAGGTTGGGGTAGAAATAGTGATAGAATTTGTCCAGTTATAAAATCTAATTCCATGTTATTGGAATTAGGAATAGAAAATTTTCATTTCTTAAAAACTTTGGAGTGTTAGTTTGGTTTAACATAAAATGTGTTCAATATTTCTGTTAAGTTGGGTAGTCTTTGACAACTGCATAAAATCAGTTGAAGATATTTTCCAAAAGGGATATACATGCATTGATGATCTGAATATTTGATTTATCTTAATAGTAATAAAAACCAAATATGATTGCTTATGAAATTGCTCTATAGTGATGATGCAGAATGAATTTCCTTGTCCTTTACTGGTTTTAGGAATTTATTTTTAAGTAGGGTAAGTTGTATATTGATGTTATGTATTAGTTATTAAGACTAATTCAATGAGGCCATGGAAATGAAATGAATAATCCATTAAAAAAGTTGCTCTGGTATTTTGGCTGAAATAATGAGTTACATGTGTGCACTGTATACATAATTATTTTATAAAAAGGAGACATTCAGTACAGTTGTCATTCTTCTTCATCACAAAATTATAGTTTCCATGAGGGAGTAGAAAATTTCCATTCTGTTTACCACTGTATATCAAACAGCTAACACTGTTTCTAGCATTGAGAAATCAGTTAAAAATATTTACTGAATTAAAAAAACTTGCCCAAAAAGCATACAGATGCCCTCAAATTGAGTAGGTGTTATCTATTTGGGAAATTTTCAATATGACATACTTATTCACTATCACAATGTACCATTAAGAACATATTAACAAGGCCAGAAGAAGCTGTATTTTTCTTTGCTTTAAAAATATTTTTGATTCTTTTTCAGAGCAGGTTTAATTGTGTGTGCTTCAAGATCTGCTAAAAGATTGTTGTCTAATAATTTAGAAATTGCAGTAACATTCACTTGTATATCTCAAATATTTCCTGGTGTCTATAGAAATGTGACCACATTAAAAATTGGGGTAAATGGTAAGACTTATAGAAATAATTCTACATTTTAAATATTTCTGGATATACTACTTCTTCATTTTATTTGCCATTATAAAAAAAGTTACAGTAATAAGAAAAGGGAAAATGACTGCATTAACTATTTCCTCTAACAGCTCAAGTTTGGTATTATTTTAGAAGGAAAAAAGTAGATTCATTTCTTGGTTTCTACAAATGTGTTTGCTCTTCAGTAATCATAATCATTTCAGAACAGCAGTCATTTCAAAGTATTTGCCCCTTTTGGTTCAATTGACATTCTTTTTCAAGAGAATTACTGTTAAGAAATGTCATTGTGTCCAGCAGGTGAAAAAAATTGTCACAATGTTTTTAGTTTATTTCAACTATCACTGTTCTCTTAGTACCGAAATGTCTTTGCTGCTATCTGTGGAATTAAGTGACAGATTTTAGGATAAAAAAATTCACAGTTAAACCTAAAATACAATATAAACTTAATGACAGTAGTTCCATAGCCAATCCCTTGTCAATTCTTCTTTAATGCTATCATTAGTCCTGAAAATTCACTAAAATATTTCTTATTATGTACAACAAAGACTCTCTCCTTGACCAAACTTTGGTTAGGCACCTCCGAGCTCTCAGTAACAGGTACTTAACATCAAAAAAGCAGTTAAAAAGCAGTATTTACTGCTTTTGCTGAAAAGCACTGACACCTTCCTTGAACCCATGAATTAACTGAAAGCTGGATAAAAACTAGGCATCCATTTTGTATCTGTGGCTCTGTTCTGAGCTATTCCCTCCTAAGGTCACTTTACAGCCATCTTGAAATCCAGGAAGCACCAGACAGGAGACAAAGACAACCTGCCAGGCAGCAATGACTCTTATTGTAACAAGGTTCCAACTGACCAATCATGAGACAAGGAACTACTGGCCAACCTATTATCAATGAAATACACCTGTGACTGATATTGTTTGATAATTATGCATACCCCTCTCCCTGCCCCTAATTCTTCCTCTTATTTAAATCTAAAGCAAATGTCTGTTTGAGGAGGATGGGTGACACGGTTACCTTTCCTCTTCCCATGGTATGCCTGTGCTGCATAATAAACCTTATCTCTCTGTCCTTCACCTTTATTGGGAATGCTGGGGCCGGATTTGGGACTGGGGATGGAAATCTCCTGTAACACTTCTTCTCCACTAGGCTTAAATCTTGTCTTATAAAAACTGTAGTCCTTCAGCACAAATGGTTTCATGAACTCTCCCTACTTCCACATACATACTAAGAGAGTTGAACAAGAGCTCAAAAACTGTCTTAGAACTCCCTAGAATGACCAAGGAGCCCTTAAAGTGCCTGCCTGAGAAGGCTCAGTTTTGGAAGGAGAACTTACTATTTGTTCCAGCCAAAACTTTGGTGATGGGCAGGTAAGTCCATGATAGCTCTCTTGCAGCAGTTATTTTGGAAAACTTCCCCTTTGAGAAGTAAATCTTATACCACCAGAACTGTCTTCTAAAAACTATCTCTTCGAAATGCAGACAATCAAGGGTTTAAGTCAGACCCCTCCTCCCAGCTCTGTTTCCCTTGCTCTCTAACTTGCTGCTATTACTTCCCTCATAAAGTCCGTATGTGACAGAGGTTTGTTTCTCTTGAAATAAGTTATGTTATCCTAAAATACATTTCTTCTCTAGGATTGAAAGATGTATATTCTCTGGTTCTTTTTTCCTTATTATTCATATGTTGCATATAAACATCAGAGGCTAATCTTTTATCAGCCTTTCTTTTTAGATCTCATTGTAACTCTTAACCCTCCCAGGTACACCACGCAGAAGGCATGTGAAGCAGCCTGTACTGTCCAGCACGCTATGGTGCTGCAGTCAGGAGAAACCTTTCGTTTTTCTCTTCTCTGCTACTTATATACCTAGCTTCCTTTTAACATTTTCCACTCTGTTTGCTTTTGAAATGTTAGAGCAAAGCTATTTCATTGAAGAATATAGTGGCTAGATAAGCAAGACATGATCCTCAATTTTGAATTATACAAAGAAACGTGTCCAGAAGAAATTTACTCTTTTTAAAATTTTCCCAAATCAGAAAGAGGACGATGGTGGGGAGGGGGATGAGGAGGAGGGGATACGTGTGTTTTCTTGTTATTCTCTTTATTTTTGTTAATGATTGTACTTTCTTTCCTTTGTATTTTACTTAATTTAAATTGAGGGATGGAGGAAAATATGGAAAAGCACTGATATTTTTCTATATCTATAGTGCATAAGATCTTATTACCATGGTTACCAAATAGATATCATTATCTCCATTAAAAATAGGAAGAAACTGACATTTTGAGAAATTAACTGAAGTAACTGAAGAATAGAATTTAAGGCTGTCAGGTCAAGATTTGTTCCATAATTGCAAGCTTTCTCATTTATGAGTATTGGTAGTTTGCTTATTTTGAAATTTCCTTCATGAGGAAACCACAGAAGAGATTATTTTATAATCTTTGTGAACAAGCACCTCACATACCCACTCCACTACAGAAAACGTACTTGAAAAGAAGAAATTGAACACAAAAAACAAAATTTCTTATCTTTCTGTTGCAAATTTTTGTTGTTTAATTAACATTATGATTTTTCCTTGTCTCTGTCTTTTGTTTACATTTTAGCTTCACTAAATAAAATCATTTACATTTACTGTTTCAAGATCATTTTATAAGATTAAGAATCATTGAAGGAATGAAGGATGTTTTATCATGTCAGTTTCATAATCACTCATATACTACTAATGTTCAGTTGAAGTCAAAATATGATAACTTTAAGCTTAAATGTATACTACTTTCCCTCAGTCAGCTTCATCATTTCCTAGAGTCATTTGCTCACAAATTCCCAGTCATCTCATTATTGTTCTTATCATCCTATAAACTTGCCTTCATTACTCTATTGATGCTACCTTCAGTATTATCTAGAAAACATACTTTAAAACATCTCCTTGATAAATCTCTCATCTCCCCATGGAGAGATGCTGTTTGGCATAAGGGAGATGGCTAGACAAATTGATTTTAAAGCTCATTGAAATCATCATTTCAACTAGATAAGCATACTAAGGAAAGCTGTTGCATGAGGATTAAAAACTGGAAAGAAAATTATAGCAAATTGGGTAGTATTCAATTTGTCTTATTATCCAGTCCTCCTTTTTACTTGGAAAAGGACTTCTATTGTAATGACTAGAAGGCATATCCATATCCATAGAGGGGTAATAAACTCCATCTCATTGATCAGTAATAAAATAAGCTTCCTTGTTCTGAGTAACTCAATGACAACAATAATCAACTCCATTGTGGGAACACAACTGACCATTCAGATCTAAATGATGTATACAGCTCTATAGTTATTAAAAGAGTTGGATGGTCTGGCTTTTTCCATTGTCAGAAATTTCTGATCATCTTTAAAACTTTTTATATAGACTTATAGTGCCTGAAAAATGTGGACAAGTTTCCATGGAAAAAGTTGCATTTGAAGGGAATTAATGAAAGGAATGCGTGCTATCAGTGATCGGTAACAATGCATGGAGAGAAGTGAATGCCACCGAGCATGCAATACCGCAGAGGTCGCCTTCATCAGAGCCATCAGGACAATCTCTTTGCCCGTTGCAAAGTTTCTCCGGCTGCAGGCAGACAGAAGTATCATTAGCACATGGATACTTGGGGGGTGCACACAAGAAACTGTCACAGTCTTCTTCGTCGGATTGATCTTCACAATCAATATCTCCATCACATACCCATGCTTTGTTGATGCATCTTCCTGAAAAAAACAGAAACAGAATGCATCTGAGCTTTGTAATAAGGTCACTGTAATAATAAATGACCATGACTGTCTTCACTCAGAGGCCATTAGCAAGAAATCTATTTGCTTGTAGTTTGACAGTTTATTCTTAAGAAACCATTTGAATACTTCTTGCCTGGGTCCTTAAAGTGCTTTTAGTGTTGAAGCCTTGACATTTTCTTTAGTTTTAAGTTATCTTTCTACACTATTTTTTTAAAAACGAAGATTCTGTGTCTGGTAGAAAATTTAATTATAATATTTTCAGAAGTGTACATTGAATGTTTTGTTTATCAGTGTCTTTCATAGCCCTAAATATAGATAAATGCGATTAGTGCCTGCCAAAAGCCTAAATTTAGTTAAATGCTTTATTTTAGCAGAAGTTGTCCATCTATACATATACATAACCTCAACACCTTAACTCCTCATACCAGACACACATCCATACCCCTTCATAAAAAATATCAATGTTATTAAACATATTGTAGCAAACGTACAAATATGTTCATTGTATTTAAAGAAAAAAGTAAAATGATTATGATTCGCAGGATGTTGGAAAAGTAACGGTATAGATCACAGAGAACAATGGCTGTTTTTGTCTTTGTAACCCTGTTTTTCACTTCAAATTATTTCTCTTTTATATATTGCTTTTACTTTTATTCTAGTTAATTGTCTTTCTGGATTGTACATCGTTAAGGTATACTATAAACTTTTAAAGTTACCTAAAGATAAGCACTATTTATTTTCTGATCAGTCTCTCATAAAATAAGTGACATAAAGAAAAATTGAAAACATCATTTTATATGTTTCCAAAAGTATTTCTACATTAAATGTTTTCCTAAACTTTAAAAGCTACTATACTTTACAATAAATAAAATATTGGTGCAAAAGTGTTTCAATTATACTAATATGTTAATTTTCCACAATAAGTCAAATAAAAAACACACGATTAACTCCACAGTGAATAACAATACATATCATGGAAATCAACATTAATTATTGATAAATTACTCTCAAAACTCACAAATGCTTCACTAATAGACCTGATATAAATGGAGAAACATCATAAACTTTGATCTTAACATCATGAATAAAATTGTTATTTTATATTGTACTAGATGTACTACCAAAGGAAAATTAGATAATAGAATGTGGTGAAAATTACAAAAGAATATTATTACATGCAGTTATTATAATAACACAATTATAAAATCTATTAAAAGTAAATAAATAGTATAAGAAACTAAGAAATCAAAAACTTGGTAGCTAGTTAAAAAGTTATATAAAAAATCAATAGATCTCATATCTATAAAACACATAAAATGGAACAAGCACAATTAAATGTTCCTCTATAAAAATAAAATATTTTTTGCTTAATCTGCACAAATTTGTATACAATTTAAAAATTCTAAAAAGACATTCAAAAGAAAGCTTGAATAAAGATATTGATTTTATTACTGTAAAGATATCAGTGTTCTCTAGATTATTACAATCCTCCCAAAAGAGTAACAATATTATTGTACACCTACCACCTATAGGTTTTTCCTAAATTTATGAAAATAAAACTGCAAAAGTCAATAGGAATCTTTTAAAAAAGAAAAAGAGGGATCTTGATGAGTAAGAACTGTAAATGTCAAATATTTAGAAGTGGTATAAAGTAAGAGTAGCTAAAATATTTTCATAAAAGAATATTAATAAACATATCAATGACAACATAGCACAAAGACCTCAGAAATAGGCATGCATGCACACACATATGTGGGCAGGAGATGGACTTTGTGCTACTTTAATTTCCTTCTGCCATATATCTGCATAACTTTCCCAAAATATTGTGACTTGTTTTAAAAAATGATGAGGTTGAAATGTACATACATATGGCAGAGGGATCTATAATAAAATTACACATTGAGTTACTCTGTGACTTATGCTTTCCTTGGGGCTTTAGAAAACATAAAGAAGACTGCTCCCTGTTACCAGGAGTTTACAATCTAGTCAACAAAGCCAGATCAAGGTATGCATATAATAGTACTCTCAAATATGAAAGCCTATAGATTTGTATTAACTTGCATGTTGTCATCTGCAATACAGTAGAGTTCAAGATTAATATAATTTCCATTTTTAGTTTGGTTCATCAAGATACAGCTTCTTTTTTCCCCCTTAACATAACTAATACATCATGACATTCATAACCATTGACTCTAGAATTGCCTTAGAATTGTTTCAATAAACTTATTTGTAAATCACTACCAATCTTTTTGCGTAAGAACCATACTAAAAGTATTTGCTATCCTAACTTAAATACTGCCTGTAAAAGGTACAGAAAATCAAATACAGATGATTTTTTTCTAAAACTTTAACACAGATTGAGTCATTGGAAACATGAGTAAATAATGCGCATAGATTAGATAAAATTCCCAATGTTAAATCACTCTCTCTGCCACTGATTTTGTAGAGGAAGTGTGAAGATTAATTTCTCCATTTCTTGTTAGGTTAGTTTACCAAAATGTACATAAGAGGGTGACCAAGCTATGATAAGTTTAATACATTTCTAACTCATATCCATTAATTGAGTAAAATCCCAAGGTAAATGAGCTCAGTAAATACATTTAAAGAATGTTGATTTTTACTTGATTCATATCAAGACAAATCCTCACCTAGTTAAGTCACTGGATATAAAGTCTTATATGAATAAATACTACATTTCCTTGTTTAAGGTCCCTACTTCATATTTTACAAACTGAGGCAAAATCAAATTAAAACAAGTAGAGATTAGAAACATTAAAACATGTTATAGAAATTATAAATACCTAACACAGAGGAAATAATTCAAAATAAAATTTTGAAATTATGCACAAGCACAGTCAAATAACCAAGTAAGTCCCTTTGCCTGTACATATTCTTCCTTAGAACATGGTAAAAATAGCAAGGATGATTATTATCATATGGAATGCTACATATTTTCTGATTTATTTATATAATGTTGTTTTCAACTTGATAACTATATGCCCAAAATTATTTTGGTAATTATAGATTTTCCCCTTTGAGGAAAGAAAGTAAGGGTGGCCATGTAGCAACAAAATGGAAACTGAAAGATAACAAAAAACAGCATGCTGGTAAAATCACATCCAGTACAATCACATCCAGTATAATCACACACACACACACACACACACACACACACACAAAGACAAATAGACACACATTATAAGAACTCTTGATTTGTTTGATTTGTGTTGTCTTGAAGTATACAACTTGGGTTAAACAAAATGAACAGCTCTGGAAAATTAAATGTTCTGAATCTCTAGAAAATATGCTAGTTTCTGAAAATGAATTGATAGTTCTTCAGTTTCTCCTTTCTGTTTAACTTTTTTTGAACATTATTAAAAAATATATGTGTTTTGAGCTAAGTATGGTGGTGCATGCTTGTAATTCCAGCTGTTCAGGAGACTGGAAGTTGCAGTATTGCTGTCAGAGGTGGCCTAGGCAAAAGCATGAGACCTTATCTGAAAAACAAACTATAAGCAAAAGGACCGTGGCTGTGGCTTAAGTTAGAGAACACTTGTGTAGCAAGCATGAGACTATGAGTTTAACCCTCAGTACCACAAAAAAGTGTCTTTTTGTAAGCTGCTTCACTTACTTTTACCTTAATAAAAGATAACACATGCTATCATTGACAGTTTCTGTACTAGGATATGATTGGCACCTAATATTAAGAATATGAGAGTATTGAGAAATGAATCTTTGAGAAAATCCAATAGATTAACTCAATGATATATTTATAATGTCTTTTTTTAAAATTCTGGTCTTTGAGCTGCCATTTTTCTTTTAATTTTTACACTACTAGTCTTTTGAACCACATAACATTTATATCTAATATTTGATTTCAATTAATTTAGCAAATATTTACTAAATATTATGTGCCTGACTAGCTACTAAGGAGTGAGGAAGATAGGAAACTAGTTCTTGATCTTGTGGAACAGTAAGTCTAGAAGTGACAAACATTTTAACTTTGAACATTTAAAAAAGAATAACATAAAAGCAATATAACCAATGCAGAGGATTACACAATTTGAGAAAAGTAGAAAATATTTATTATTAGAATGGTGAAAACAAGCTTTACTGAGATATTCTTTGTACAGGGGTCTTTAAATATGATAGAGAATTTTACATATGGCTATAAGGAAAAAAGAATTTCATATAACTTTATGTATGCCTTCTTAACATTAAAATATGTACCCTCTGCAAAACAATAAGCTGGAAAAAGTGAGAAAAAATGTCATAGCATGATGATTATTCTCAATGTGAATACGTCAAGACACAGAGGGTCCTCTCAATCAGTCCTTTTGCACAGATGTATAAATATGAAACACAAACCTATTGAAATGATTTTAATAGTGGGAAGAGGGAAAATAATGGAGGGGATGAACCAAACCAGGGTACATCGTATGTATATATGGAAATGTCACAAGACCCTCTGCACAACTAGTATATACTAATAAAAACATTAAAACAAGAAAAAATTTCCAAATACATCTCTTTTGTATATGCCTTTTTTAGTTTTACATGAGAGTTTTTTTCTTAAAAATATCATTCTGTGTATAAATTGTCAGCAGAACTATATTCACAGAAATACTGAATTTTATGGATGCTTTCAGGGATGATTTTGAACATCTACGTTCTGCCTCCTTTGCTGCATCTAATCCACATAAAAGTTCCAGCACCTATCTAAAGGCATAAAATCAGGAAAGAGTGGGACCTGGTCAAAAACCAATAATGAAACATTGTAGGGACATAGTTCATCAATGACTGGTTTCTAATTTGAGGTATGTTTTTGAATCTTTAGATAATAGCGATTATAACATTCAGACATTCTTACTTCTAAAGACAAAGCATGTGTTCACACTATGGCTTGGGATTGAAAAGAAGCCAAACTGTCTAAAATGATTTCATGTTAGTGTTTGTTGGGGGGAAACAGTAATCAACACAAAGGTCCTAGTGATTGAATTCAGGGCCTTGTTCTGGGTAGCAAACACTCTACCACTTGAGGCATGCCCCCAGTCCCTTTGCTTCTAGTTTGTTTTTCAGATAGGATCCCAAGCTAACTTTGCCCAGGCTGGACTCAGACTATTTATTATCCTTCTATCTCCATGTACCACCATGCTCATCCAGATGTGTTTGTATTTTTGTCAGACTCTGTTCCAAAGCAATATTGGCTTTAATGACATGGCTGAATTGCCATGGCTATGTCCTCCCATTTGCTTAGGCATGTAGACCAGTTAAGTAACTGCCTCAGGTAGCAACTAGCAGCTAAAACACATATATTGATAGATACTAATTTTCACTTCAAAAGTAACTGGATTTCCTTCCATTTTCTGGTTTCCAGTGGTGAGCTTGGCTGTAGTCCCCAACTTCATGTAGGACAATTTTAGTTCCCATGAGCCCTAAGGTTTGAGCATCTGTCCTTTTCCTCCAGTTTCTACATTCAGCCCAACAAGACACCCAGCTTCACTCCAGCTCAGCAGTTGATATTCTACTTTATTTCTGTTCCTCAGAGATACATGTTATATATTTTGTTTCTTTTCTTTCTTTCTTTCTTTCCTTTTTTTTTTTTGTGCTGTACTGGGGTTTATCCTCATACCCTTATGATTGGCAGGCAGGTGCACTACCATTTGAGCCACTCCACCAGCCCTATTTTGTTTCTTAGTAAGTCAATAATATCCCTCATTTTGTTAAATATGATCATCACTTCTATGTGCTTTTAGTAGTAAAGAGGGTTCAAAGTATTAATATAAAGTCTTAACATTCTTGTTCCTCCTTAATGATTGATGTTAGTAACTATTAAGTAGTTCTAGTCCTGCTCTTCTTTACCTGGATTTCTGGAAGTGGGAAGGCAGGGTCAGATTTATATTCTTTCAACACTTGGGTCCTATTTTCCCTGTAATCCTGACATCTCTTTGTAAAATCAAACAATATACTTTTTTTTTCTTTTTCAACCTAAAGAATGGCATTTCTGAGTTTATTTTCCATGAGGGGTGAATTTGATATTCCCTTCCCCTGAGTACTGATAATGTAAGTGTAATATTGGGTCTGGGGAATGAGAGACTAGAAGTGGCAGAGTACAGTACTTGGTTAAAGATAGGTCCTTGGAGATGAGAAGCTCTTAAATGTTAATGGTTGTATGATATTTTAATTTAAGTTAGCTCATATTCTTTTTTTATAGGAATTAAAAAAACTTATTAATATGCCTATGTTACAAAACTAATAGATGGCAATTTATGGGTAAAAGAAAAGCCATTCTAATCACTAAATGTGAATTTATTTTCTTAATAACTTTTAAATGATCAGGCTAGGATTTCATACATCATTGAAAATAAACATGAGCTCTGGATTGAGTGTGTTGAGTAGTTTAAAGGTCTTTTAGCTTGCAAAACTTAGGACGTAATTAAAGTAAATGAAAAAATATCAAAAATATTATAGATGTATGCATATTTTAATCCAATGTTTATATCTATGTTTTTTTGTGCCACTAGTGCTCATAAAAATTTTTTGTCAAAATGAATATTTACTTGTGTGATATGACTCTTCCAATTTGATACAATATGGATTACTGTATCTGAACCACAAATTAAATTCAAAGCAGATAAATGGTTTAAATTACTATCTTTCACATTTCTTTTTAAAATGAAACATTGGAGGCTGGTGGAGCAGTTGAACTGGTAGAGCACCTGCCTAGCAAGCATGAGGCCCTGAGTTCAACACCCAGTACCACCAAAACACACACACACACACACACACACACACACACACACACACACACACAAGAAACAAAAGAAACATGGGTCATACCCCAATTATGCTTGAAAGCAGTTTGATATAAACATCTGATGTCTTATTAATAACATGGTTAAACATATAATTCATATTCAAAATAAATACACAAGAAAGAATCCAATTTTCCAAAGACAGTAAGACATTTTCATCATACTTCAGATTTATCTTTAAGTGGAAGTCCTATTCAGAGAAAACTCTTTTACAAGAGTTCATTGAAAAATATCAGCATTATATATACATACATATACTATAATATGCATGCACCTGAAATTTTCCACTAATTTTTCTTCCTTGTACTTTTTACTTTTTTCTTTTGTAGTACTTAAGTTTGAATTCAGGGTCTAGTAGGCAGGTGCTCTATCACTTGAACCATACCATGAGCCCTTATTAACATTTCTTAAAAATGTAATTTATTATTTATGTTTACTCTGCTTATTTTCTATGTATATAAAGTTAAAACCAGTTTTTACTGACATTATACTGCTAGAACTTACATTGCTATGAGGCTTTTTAAATAGAAATTTTAATTGACACATAATTGTTTCTATTTCCAAGATACACCTGATATTTCAATGAATTATAATGACCAGAACAGGTGAATTGACAAATGTGTTGGAACCAATAAATATTCTCTCTACCAGCTTTTTGAAATACACGTTGATTTTTTTTGTTACCACCCATAGTTCCCTGCTGTGTTGTACAGCTTTCGAGGCTCTTCCTCGTGTCCACCTAAACACGCTGTGCCCACTGGCCATCCTCTCTCCAACTCCTCTTCACTGTTCCTAGCTTCTGGAATTCACTCATGAACTTTTTATAATTATTTCTGCATGGAGAAATTATATCCTGGTTTTAGGATTCACATCTTAACTTGCTAAACTTTAATAGCACATTGAAATAGTGTATACTCAGATTTTTCCATGCCACTTTATATTTTGTTTTAATGTACCTTTTTCAGCTTCTTATACATGTTAAACACATATCTGCTATGTTTTAACATTAATCCAATTAGACAAGTACTGGAAGTCATATGAGGAGGAAATGCATATTACATTCTTTAAGTTATGTTGATCTGAGTCAAATATTTGACCTTGAAACATAAAAAATTAGTCTATTGTTTAGAAAATTGTTTAGGCAGTCAGTGATTCAGTCATTTAACTCATTTGTATAATCAATAAAAATTACAAATAGATAATTTCTGAAATTAAAATCACATTTTTTCCAGCCAATATTCCCCAAATTAAACTTTTCATGTGACAACTGAAGACAGTCACATAATTGTGAAAAATATTGTTGGAAAAATAACACTGGGGGAACACAACTCTCTGAGTAGGAATGTGCCACAGAAATACTTATTTATACTTATGCTATCTTACATCTATTTCTTCATTTTTTATATAAATGCTTCATTGTAACAAAGACATGTTTAAGAAAAGAAACACAATTCATTTTTGTATATTTAAATGCATATCAGTTTTGTGGCAGTATTTGCTACAGATGTTGTGGCTTTTCCTATTGTTTGGTTACTCCAAGGGAAGAACCAGAGGGACCAAAGTATCACTGAAACTTATGATTAATAAATGCAAAAACAATTTCACATTAAAGAGAAATTTCAGAGATGATTCAAGAATATATCCTGAAATTTACAGAAAAGTCTTTTTGTGGGTTATTTGAATGATGATAACAACCATTTCTCAAATGAATACAGTACAACACAATATAACATAATAGCTGATTACATTCTACTTTTTCCTTTTTCCTCTTTTCCTTTAATCATCTGTTATAAGGAGGGACATAAGTCAGTTAATCATGTCAAGTGAAACTCAGTGAATGTAAGAAAGCAAAATATATGTAGGAACACAAAATGGAAAAGTCATAATAAAGTATCTTTATAAAAAGCAATAATATAGAAAACAAAATATATGTTGGAACACAAAATAGAAACATCATCATAATAAAGTATCTTTATTAAAAGAAATATTATGGTGTCAGTGACTTTCAGGTCAAAAATTTAAATTGGGTACCAACACCTCATCATAATGGAATCAAGCAATAGCATAATAAAATTTAGGAAGTAGATATAAAAATGCATATAATTCAACCTTTCCTCTTGTTATCATCATTTACATTTTAGGATGGACTTTTTATACAAAAAGAAATGCTGCCCTTAGGTTAGTATACTCATCTGTTTTTTGACTCTGAAACTCCAGACTCTGAATTCAAATGGGCTGATTTCAAATCTCAATTCTGCCCTGCTGGCTCTGTGAATTTGAGCAAGTTAAAAACTTCTCTTTGCCTCATGAGTTCATGAAGAAAACATTCTAGAGCTGTGTCAAGCCCATAATAATTCTCAGTAGATATTTTTATTATTACTGTTAGAAATAAAATATGAGAAAACCTGCAAGAATTATGAGAACACGTTTACAAGATAACTACAGACTGAAGATGAGTCAAAGGGTCTACACCCAAGAAGTCCAAATAGAAATGAAACCAATGTTCTGCTTACCTGTACTCCGACAAGAAAACTTGGTTTTGTGATCACACAAACGTTATGGTACCATTGCAACCTTTTTCATCACTACCATCTTCACAATCTTTTTCTCCATCACAGCGCCACAGATCAGGAATGCAATTTCCATCAGGATGACATTGAAATTCCTTCTCATTACAACCACCAGGAGAATGAATCTCTTAAGTTGAAATGAGGTATTGGGAGGAAGAGAGTGAAACAGAACAGAAATTATGATTTTTATTCATGAAGATTTTTTCTACATTTTTCTTTCTTCAGGTATTTTTATGATGCTAGAGAGAGCATATATTTTGCTTCAGTTAATTGCTACGAAACTGTCTAGTGTTTTCAAATACATTTTAAAAACATTAGTAATTACAGAAAATTGTGTTTCTTGAGTCCCTTAGAATTCCTGAAAGTGCCACACAAATTGGAGAAGAGCAAGTAAAATAATATGTAGCTATTTTGCTGTGATTTTAATTAGTGCCTTAAGAATGAAATCTTTGAAGGACTTTTCTCTAAGGTAAATAAACAAAGTCTCATATTACACTCTTAATAAGACTTTGGATGAATTTTTGACATTTCCTTGGATAATTTCTTTCAAATTATTAAGAAATAAATAGCCAAAATAAGTACTTTGTAACAAAATCTTTGAAGAATAACATCCAAAAATTTGAAAAATAAACACCCCTAGGTAATAAATACTATTTTATGATGTAAGATTTAAATTCTAGAATCAAGCAGACAACTTTACACAAAAATTTAATAAGATATTATACATTCAAATTCCATTTACCGTTAATAATTCATATAATTCTCAGATAACACTACTGTCTAAAACCTGGTGACAGACATGTAGGATATATTATACAGATCAGCATAAAGCAAGTATTAATAAATACTGTTGTAAAACAAAGATCTTAACATAGAATTTTGAGACTTCAGTTTTAATCTAACAAATTAATTATATATAGTATGTTGATATGTATAGCAATTAATCAATAATTTATATGTAAGAGCAGTTAATATTAGCGAAAATTTGAAGCAGATTCACATGATATGCTCATTGCTTTCTGTGCCAGCCTGGTAGAGAGCTACAATAATAACACAAGATTAGACTGACTGACTCAAACTTAAGTTCTAACCTAACAGTACTAGTACCACCAATGCAGCTACTTCATCTTTGGACACCTCTATGCGTTCACCTGGAAAATGGAGGGCCTTATAATGTCATTTCAAGGGCTAATTAGATTTTTGTATGTGGTTGATTTAACTACGAAGTATTGTGCTTTCTGTAATATAAATAACTTAGTTCTTGATGAAAGTTTTTCCTTTATTTAAAGACATGCAAGAACTTTACTCTTTTAGGTAACGCATTATTATGAAGGTGCACAAGAAGATGATTCACCACGACCAAGTAGGCTTCCTACCAGGGATGCAGGGGTGGTTCAACATACGAAAATCAATAAATGTAATAAACCACATTAACAGAAGCAAAGACAAAAACCACTTGATCATCTCAATAGATGCAGAAAAAGCCTTTGATAAGATCAAACACCATTTCATGATAAAAGCTCTAAGAAAACTAGGAATAGAAGGAAAGTACCTCAACATTATAAAAGCTATATATGACAAACCTACAGCCAGCATTATACTTAATGGAGAAGAACTGAAACCATTCGCTCAAAATCAGGAACCAGACAAGGATGCCCACTATCTCCACTCTTATTCAACATAGTACTGGAATTCCTAGCCAGAGCAATTAGGCAAGAAGAAGGAATAAAAGGAATACAAATAGGTAAAGAAACTGTCAAAATATCCCTATTTGCAGACGACATGATCCTATACCTTAAAGACCCAAAAAACTCTACTCAGAAGCTTCTAGACATCATCAATAGCTATAGCAAGGTAGCAGGATAAAATCAACATAGAAAAATCATTAGCATTTCTATACACTAACAATGAGCAAACTGAAAAAGAATGTATGAAAACAATTCCATTTACAATAGCCTCAAAAAAAATCAAATACCTAGGTGTAAACCTAACAAAAGATGTGAAAGACCTCTACAAGGAAAACTATACACTTCTGAAGAAAGAGATTGAGGAAGACTATAGAAAGTGGAGAGATCTCCCATGCTCATGGATTGGTAGAATCAACATAGTAAAATGTCGATACTCCCAAAGTAATCTACATGTTTAATGCAATTCCCATCAAAATTCCAATGACATTCATTAAAGAGATTGAAAAATCTATTGTGAAATTTATATGGAAACACAAGAGGCCACGAATAGCCAAGGCAATACTCAGTCAAAAGAACAATGCTGGAGGTATCACGATACCTGACTTCAAACTATATTACAAAGAAATAACAATAAAAACAGCATGGTACTGGCACAAAAACAGACATGAAGAGCATGGAACAGAATAGAGGCCCAGATATGAAGCCACACAACTAACCAACTTGTTTTGACAAAGGAGCTAAAAATATGCAGTGGAGAAATAGCAGCCTCTTCAACAAAAACTGCTGGGAACGTCTGCAAAAATCTGAAACTAGATCCATGTATATCACCCTATACCAAGATTAACTCAAAATGGATCAAGGATCTTCATATCAGACCACAAACTCTAAAGATACAGGAAAGAGTAGGAACCACTCTGGAGTTAGTAGGTATAGGTAAGAACTTTCTCAATGAAACCCCAGCAGTACAGCAACTAAGAGATAGCATAGATAAATGGGACCTCATAAACTAAAAAGCTTCTGTTCATTCAAAAGAAATGGTCTCTAAACTGAAGAGAACACCCACAGAGTGGAGAAAATATTTGCCAGCACACATCAGACAAAGGACTGATAACCAGATATATATAGGAACTTAAAAAACTAAATTCTCCCAAAACTAATGAACCAATAAAGAAATGGCAAGTGAACTAAACAGAACTTTCTCAAAAGAAGAAATTCAAATAGCCAAAAAACACATGAAAAAATGCTCACCATCTTTAGCAATAAAGGAAATGCAAATTAAAACCACACTAAGATTCCACCTCACCCCTGTTAGAATAGCCATCATCAGCAACACCACAACAACAGTGTTGGCGAGGATGGGGAAAAAGGAACCCTCTTACACTGTTGGTGGAATGTAACTAGTACAACCACTCTGGAAAAAAATTTGGAGCTACTAAAAAGCTGACATTCGATCTACCATTTGATCCAGCAATACCACTCTTGGGATATACCCAAAAGACTGTGACACAGGTTACTTCCAGAGGCACCCTGCACACCCATGTTTATTGCGGCACTATTCACAATAGCCAAGATGGAAAAACAGCCAAGGATGCCCCACCACTGAGTGAGGATTTGAGTCTGGCCCAAAAGACCAAAAATCGTATGTTCTCCCTCATATGTGGACATTAGATCAAGGGCAAACACAACAAGGGGATTGGACTTGAGCACATGATAAAGCGAGAGCACACAAGGGAGGGGTGAGGTAGGTAAGACACCTAAAAATTTAGCTAGCATTTGTTGCCCTTAAATGCAGAGAAACTAAAGCAGATACCTTAAAAGCAACTGAGGCCAATAGGAAAAAAGGGACCAGGAACTACAGAAGAAGGTTAATCAAGAAGAATTAACCTAGAAGGTAACCACACACACAGGAAATAATGTGAGTCAACTCCCTGTTTGGCTATCCTTATCTCAACCAGCCAAAGTACTTGTTTCTTCCTATTATTGCTTATATTCTCTCTTCAACAAAATTAGAGATAAGGGCAAAATAGTTTCTACCTTTATAACATCCTCTATCTCATAATTTTTAATCTTCCAAGGTTCCAGTCTATATTTTTTTTCTAGAAACAAGGATTCATGGTTATGTAAATAAGAATCATTCAAGTTAAGAAAGTCTTCAAATATAGTATAATATAAAATCTCCACAAATATGAAGTTTGGATGAAATGCACATTTACATTTAAACTCATCTGACTTTGGAAATAGTTTATTAACCTTAATAACATTAAACTATATATATAGAAATACATATAGCATATTTCCATTCTTTCTCTTGTCTTTTATTTATTCAGGAATTCTTCTGCCTCAAAAATGTCTATGATAATGGAAATAATTCCATGTTTATCAAATTATGAGAGTAATGGATTGAGTCTTTTAAACATGTTTTGGCTTTTGTTTCAAAAGTCTAGCCCTTTTAGATCATATTACCATTAACTCAATGACATAATGGAAAATTCTCACAAGGAAGAACATGTAAATTTAGAAATCTAGATATATTAACCTGATTCAGAAGATTTGCAAAAGCTAATTCATTTCTTCTTTTAAAACAGGGAGAGCCCAACCTTCTACTTTGGCAAATTATAAGATTAAACAGCAGAAATTTCAAGTATCTGCTCAAATAAACAGGAAATCTACAGTAGATCCAGCATTGGGTCAACCTTATATCTAGAACTCTACTTTATCAGCTCGATGTTATTTGCAGCTCAGAAATAGTTGTGAACAGAAAGCTCAAAGTAGCATTTTTGTTGTCTGATTATTTGGTCCATTAGCATTTTTTGGTATGTATGGTATTTAGTTTATCTACTTATGCTTCATAAGTGAAACCACTCATTTGTTTCTTATTTTACAAACATTTACCACACAAATTTATGAAAAAATGTGACATATCCCTGGAGATTTTCTTTTTGTTCTTCTTAAGTACTCAAGTCTAAACTTTTATAGACAGGTATATCATCTACTAAGCATCACCACATGCAACCAAAGTATGGTAACTAAAAAACTATAATATATTCCAGAGAAAGTAATTCAATTTATCATTATGAACATCTAACCCTAAATGGAATAATGCTTATGTTAATAATGCCCATGAATGTAGACATAGTGAATAAATCCTGGTTTTGGTCATACTGTTCTCCCCAACCTATATTGCCTTCTTGTATATATTTTACCTATTAATGTCCATGATTTTATTTTAGATTCATTTTCTTAAAAACAACAACAACAACAACAATAAAAAATCCTATCAGGACAAAATCTATAGCTCATATCTATAATTGCAACTACTTTGGAGACAGAGGTAGGAGGATCATGGTTTAAAGCCAACCCCCAGGCAAAAGCATGAGAACCTATCTGAAAAATAAACTACAGCAAAAGGGTTGTGGGACATGACTTAAGTGGTAGAGGCCCTTACTTCAGACCCCAATACTGCTGTCCCTCCCCCAAAAAACTATCTTGAATGGGTCACTGATTCTGGGTCTGTAGATTCAGGAACATCACAGTTATGCATGACAGGATTTATAAATGGAATTATTAGTCTTTTTGTACATTGATATATATATTTTCCACCCTGGTGGAGGAAATCCAGAGATCATCCTGACTCTTAAGACAAACTCCAAGAAGAATGCCAAAACCTTACCTATCTCTGAGTGTTTATCTCCCATTCCGGGCACCCTACATGCATATAGCATTCTACTCTGCCCATGCTTCATGTTAATTATGTTGGATTGTATTAAAAAGTAGTGAAAAAAGAACCACTCATCTGTACATTTTGATTTTGATTAAAAATAAGTAAGCAAATAAATAAATGTAAGTGCATAGTAGAGAGCATTCCATTTTTCAGAAACAAAAACTACTAATTTTCTAGTAGCCATACAGATAATTAGTAGCAGAAATAAGATTTAAACCACTGTAATGACTATTAGAGTCTGTCCTCTTTACTGTTATGCCAGGACTAACCTCCTGAAATGTCTTTCTTATGTAGAGACTTAAGAATGAAAATACAACTAACTCATGTAATAATCAAGAAGTCTAGAAATTCATTTATTTTTATATTTAAATTGCTACCTTCACTCTATTTGTTTTCTAATAAGAGTTAACATTTATTTTACTCTTTTCTAAGGACATGGTGAAATTTGTTCTTTTATGGAAAGATCAACAAACTCTAAGTTGCATGAAGCAATCTAGCCTTCTTGGGCTTATTTGTTCAACTGTTGGCCAGCAAGAATAAAAGAAGAAAGATTCAAAGAATCAGAAAATTTTAGTTATGATAGCCACAATCCAGTTAGTAGCAGAGAGACACAAAATTTGTTTCATCACTTTAAAAATTAGAATATTGGACTAAATGAGTTGCTTATTTGCTCAGTCAACAGATACTTACTATAACATATCCAGCATTTTTCCAGGCACTAGAAGAGAGCATAGACCAAGAGAGATGCATTACTGGTCTCAAAGATCATGCATGAGAGGAAAAGGAAGCAGGTAAGCAGAGATCAGGAGGATCATAGCTCAAAGCCAGGCTGGGCAAACAGTTCCTTGAGACCTTATCTCAAAAAAAAACATTCACAAAAGAAAAAGAAAACTGGTGGAGAGGCTCAAGGTGTAGGGTGTGAGTTCAAACCCCAGTACCACAAAAAAAAAAAAAAAAGAATTTCATTCTAGATCTTGTTACACATCCATTATGAATTAGTGGGTTGGCTGTCCCCATCATGGGAACTGAAAGACCAAGCTGACTGAAGAGTGACTACCTTGAATGTGGAAAGGCAAGAGGGAAAGGAGGGATCAGAATGCTCTCATATCATGGGTGAAAGCAACATACATCACTTCATATCATAATTCATAAGCTAAACCAACTCACATAAATTCTGGTCCTATTTTGGTTCCACCTAACCACACAGGTCCAGACCAAGAGAGATCATTACTGGGTCTCAAAGATCATGCATGAGAGGAAAAGGAAGCAGGTAGCAGAGATCAGGAGGATCATAGCTCAAAGCCAGGCTGGGCAAACAGTTCCTTGAGACCTATCTCAAAAAAAAAACATTCACAAAAAAAAAGAAAACTGGTGGAGAGGTCAAGGTGTAGGGTGTGAGTTCAAACCCCAGTACCACAAAAAAAAAAAAAGAAAGAATTTCATTCTAGATCTTGTTACACATCCATTATGAATTAGTGGGTTGGCTGTCCCCATCATGGGAACTGAAAGACCAAGCTGACTGAAGAGTGACTACCTTGAATGTGGAAAGGCAAGAGGGAAAGGAGGGATCAGAATGCTCTCATATCATGGGTGAAAGCAACATACATCACTTCATATCATAATTCATAAGCTAAACCAACTCACATAAATTCTGGTCCTATTTTGGTTCCACCTAACCACACAGGTCCCTGGAAGTACAATCTTACCACACACACAGGAAAGTGACTACCTGGAACTATACTGTGAATGTCACTGATGGTTCCCATAAAAGGGTGGCTTAAGTATAAGGCACATACTGAAAAAGGTGATTCCAGAAAGTAGCATTTGAAAGGAATTCAAAATGATGGGGCAAAGATGGTCATGAAAAAGTTAAGGCAAAAAAACATACTAGGCAGAGGAAACAGCACCTGCAAAGACTACAACATAGGAAATAGCTTTAATTTTTAAAGAAATAAAAAAAGAAGACTGGATATGGTAGCTCGCATTTTGTCATCCCAGCTACTTGGAAGCCAGAGATCAGGAGAATCACTGTACAAGGGTAGCCTTAGCAAACAATTAGCAAGATCATATCTAATCAAACAAACTCAGTGAGGTGGTATACATTTGTAATCCCAGCTATGTAAGAGGCAGAAGTAGGAGGATTGCTGTCTGAGACTGGATCCAGGCAAAACACGGGAGACACTCACTGAAAAATAACGGAAGCAGAGAGAGCTGGAGATAAGGCTCAAGATGTAGAGAACCTACTTACTGTACTGTTACAAAAATAAACAAACAACAACAAAAACAAAGAAATGATGATAAGGATGGGTGAGTGAAATTAGATCTCAGAAGCAGGTAGGAATGGGATCTTATAGAGATTTGTCAACAATTATGGTAATGTTAACTCAATTTATATAAGTTTATTGAAGATTTTGTAACAGAGGAGTGATTGTGATATAATTTATTCTTCATTGCTAAGTTTTTTTTAGCTACTATGAGGAAAAAATGAATATAGTGATCTTGACTAGACCTAGGGAGTCCAGATAAATAGTTTTTGCTGGAGACAAAGTACAAAAATGAAAAGCATAGCTTCTGCTTTTGAAAAGGTCACAGAATGGCAGATACATAGGTAAATAGGTATCTTATGCATTTGAATTCTATGTCATGAGTGCTGTGGCAGAAGAGAGTGTCCTGAGAACATACAGGTATGAAGGGTAACCTGGACGTGCAGTTTCACTTGAGGTATCTGATGACAGAAAACAAGAAGAGAGTTCTGAGTTATTGCTAAGTGTTAGACAGCAGGAAAGCTAAAAAGGATGAAAGCTTTTCTGAGCAAAGCTGGCAGAATATGAAACTGCAATGTGCCAGTGGAGGAGGTGAAAGAGAAAACTAGACAGGTGGGCAAGATCTAAATCTTCAAAATCCATGTGGTATGCTAAATGGTTTGGATTAAACCCTAAAGGCAGATGGGAATGACTTTCAAGCTAGCTTCTGATTTGATCAGCTCTGCAGTCTACATAGATCACTTTGAGAACACTTTTGATAATAAATAGGCAAAGAAACTTCTAAGATTCTTCAACTTTATGCGTGTGTGTGTGTGTGTGTGTAATACAAGGATGCACACATACACACCTATCTTATCTGACTAGTCAGATAGATCAGTATACACACACACACACACCACACACACACACTCATTTATAGTTTTATATACCTTTTCTACTCTCTTCTCATCCCTCTCCCTTATAATAAATTGAAAACATCCAAATCTATTTCTCAATGTTTTCGCTTTAGGTTTGTGTGAGTGTTGATGTTTAGAACTGTTGTCCCCTTTATCCAGAAAACATTTTAAAGAAAGCCATGGAGTTTTATTTCTTCTTAACTTTCTTGCCAAAAGAAATCAGCTTCTGTTAACAGTTGTTGATTTTCCTCTGGATGAGCTCAGCATTCTTCTAAAGGGCCTATGATGTCCGTTCCAACCTGAGTTCCAGGACTCTGTGGTCCCCCAGAGCCCTTGTTTCCTCAGCTTCAGGGCCTGGCACACAATCTATCTTTGTAATATGGGTTGTCCCAGAGGAGTGCTGAAATGATGACTGTGTTTATGGGTATATGCTCATGCTGTTTTACTGTTAGGTTTTCATGTTGCTGATGCTGGTTATATTTTTAACTAATGGAATTTTATTGTGTTTTTGCCCTGGAGCTATTTAAACCAAGCATATAATTTGGGAAATCTAATAAATAAATAAATAGAGAGCCCTGGAGGAACTATGGCAACTGATGGCTGGAATTTATCCCAATATTTAAATGAATTTACTGTGACTAAATATTTGTGGCTGGAAGACTAGCAACTATACAGAAACACAAAGAATGTTTTTTCTCTAACATTTTTTAAAATGGAAATTAGGATTGTAAAAATTATATTTATATTACATATGTGCTTTTTTAGTCAAAATACATTTGGTCTTTAAGAAATATTAAAGCCCTCCTGAGAAGATATCTAATATAGAGCTGCGAATATGATGAATTATTTAAACTATACGACTAATCTACAGTTTTTTTTTATTGTTTTAATGGAGTATATGCCTTAACTTGTCACTCATTTTTTCAGTGCTGTGAAAAGTGAAGGGCGTTATATAGCGTATGCACACAAAGTTTCCTGGTCTTCATATAGTAGCCATATGTCCTATGTTTACAATGATTTATCAAATATTAGTAATTCCTGCATCAATGGCAGCTATTTGCTACCCGTATGTTCTTCAGACACTGTCTCCAATCCTGACTCCACTGAGAAGATTAGCTGGCCCCTTATCAATATATACCATACCATTCATACCATTTACTTACAAAAAGTGGACATAACCTTTTTGTGTTCTTGCATGAGGGGATACTCACCTTCCCCAAAGAGGAATGGGTTCTCCTGCTTTCTAGGAAATGTCAAGAGATCAATGTTTATTGAATCCTTACTCTCAGAACTTAGGCTGATTGGCTGGTGCCTGCTGTGGTACTGGTGGGACACACAGTTTTGTTCCTTACTCATTACATGAGACAAATTTCTAAGGGGATAGCACCCATTTTATGATACTTGATCTCCACTGGAAACTAACAATAAAGACAAACCTGTGTGTCTTCCCTCTTCCATCAACTTGTCTTTATCCTGATGGACCTTAATGACTGCTTACAGATCAACTAGGTTTGCATTGTGCCTCAATTTACTATCATCACCTCCCTTCCCTCCTTTTCAGCCCCCACACACTTCTAGAGCACAGTTTTTATACTTTCCTTTCTATTCCAGGAAACACCTTTTATCCTGTCCATATGTAGCCCCTCCCTGGGTATTATTTCAATCAAATGTTGAATGAGACCATTGAAATCACTTATTAGTGCATGGAATTTAATGATAAAATTTAGTGGGGAAAAAAACCCAAAGTTCATATTTTTAGGTTTGTAGTTTGGATCAGTTAGAAAGGTTGAATGCAAGGGAATGAAAAAGAATTC